ATAATTATGTTATTGTATGTTTTACGAAACAGAAACACGCTTTTATCATATCATTGTGTAATTAAATAATCCTAATGTTTTTTTTTAAACTAAATTGTTTCTTGAACTATACACACAACGCAAAACTTTATTATATACTCGTACTTTGTCCATATTATCTTTTAAAACTCATGACAACATGTACAACTCAGAATTCTCTAATGAAATTGAAAACTTTAGGTCTTCTTTTTGCAAATAATACTATTTACAAAAGTATTTTACCAGCCGTAGTCCAACATATCGCATCTCTGTATATTTTCAGAAGTCCCCTGAATTCGATCTCATACTATAACTTACGAAGTCGGAAGTAGGTATAGCCAAACACATTTCAAAAAAAAACTTCAATACTCCTCACTTATACTTTTAACACAATTATCTGATAAGATTATTTTTTCGTTACAAAGGAAGTTTTTGATCGTAATAGTCACTTCATAACCTGGCACACTTCTCAATACTCCCTCATCGTATTAAAGTAATATAGAGAAAAATAACTGTACTGCTGCTTTTCTCGATGTTGCACAGGTGTTCGATTGGATATAACATACTAGCTTCCTGTTTAAAATTTAAAAAAATGTTATTTATTCAATATTTACATAGCAGATAAACCCACTTCTTTCAGTTGAAAATCTGATCACCGCATATAACTATCTACAATTTCATTTTTCATGTATTGAGACGGGTGTCAAAAATTGGTTATCCAAATTAATTAAGTATACAGACAGTTCAATTACTTGGAAGTCATAATAATTGAACAACTTTTGTAGGTAATGTGTAGTTTAAGTATTAAATTCGTCGAAAAAAATATCAAGATTATTATGTGTAATTATTTATATTATTATTATAATTACGCGATAAAAAAATAAATATTGTTTCTTTTTGTGGGGTGGGCAATAATGCTATTTATGCTATAGGATGCGACATTATGTATAATATGTACATATTTATATCATAATAGTATATTTACTCACTAATCTAGCACACCCTTCATTCTTTTTATTTTTTTATTTTAAGATTACAAGTTACAATTTTTCTTTACAACATTGGTCGTTAATTATGTATTAAGTTATATTACATTGATCCAATAGTAATGTTTATGATTATTAATTAAATATTATTGAGTATTTAATGAAATTAACAGATTGAGGTCAAGCAATTTTTTTGTTTAGACTTACTTTTACTTACTTATTTTATTTTATCTTTATTAATTTTTGCATATTTGAGATGACTGTGGAGCGAAATGCAAATATTATATTTCATTGTCATATATATTGTATAATACTTGTATTGATTTCAAATCATTAAATCGCAGTTATATTTAATATAATTATTATACGATGACAACTCTAGCCTTAAACTATAAAACCTCATTAATAAATCCAGTAACATTTAAATTAAAATTTGTTGCGTAATACCTTAATAGACTCGATGCGAAAAAAATTAGCCGGCAGAAAAGAATTGGAGGCCTTATCCTACATAAATTGTAATCCTCTTTGATCTTATTTTATGGGAGTGTATAAGTATAAAAATAAATATTAATATTCGAAACTTCCATTTTTAATTCGCATATTTCGACGTTTCAATATTTACTTGTTTTTTTGACTGGTTTAATAAACGTCCCGAGAGACTAATATGATTATTATAAAATAAATAATTCACGAATCCAAACTCTACGGGTTTAGCTTAAAGTTTTTATTGTATTTATAAACCATAAACATTATTCAATTATAGCTGCCATTAATTATATTATATTACACCGTTTTAACAGTTCTTATTTTATTTACAGTTTATGGGTTTTTTTTTTTAACTCTTAACTCTTAATTGGTTACCGGCCATCGTTAACATATTGTCGACATTGTTAAAAATATTTATAATTAGTTATAATTAATAATAAATTAAATCTTTTAATGACAAAATGAGTATTCAAATGATATTTTAGTAATTAATGTTTTAAATAATAATTTAATATTGCTACAAATAATTGTGTATAATATAATTTGTACGAATCATGAATTTGCTGACATTTATATTTGTTTAGAATACATTGGAATATCATTTGAGTTATTCGATTTTAAATAACAATTTGTTCTACTATAAAGATCAATAAATCATAAGATTAAACGAAAAAACTAAAATATCGAGAAAAAAAATAACACAATATTTTATGTAATACGCGCGATATGCTTTTCGATATTTACTGAGGTACTGAGGGAGAATTATTCGAGATTTCAAGATTTGGCTTTTGTTTGTAACATTTTCAATTACAGAGAAAATGTATGCTCAAACATTGTAATATTTAAAATTGAATTTGCAAAAGTAAAATATAAAACTAAAAATGGTGTAATATACAGTTTTTTATTTTTTTACCACGCAGTATACACCTGCAATAACATGATCGCGTCTGCGTCGGACGTTTTTCTACAATCATCCCACAAAATTACAAACTATTCCGTTGATGTATAATGTACAAAATAATAATTATTTTAAACTATATAAAAGTAGGTAAAACAATACAAACTAATTAGTAATCGCCCCAAACGCCAAACAAGCAAACTATAATTATAAGGTTCCTATATTTTTTACATGTATTTGTATAGATAATCATAATTATAATAATAAGGAACCAGTAAAATAAGTCCTAGAACACTATAGGGCTATTTTTCTTTAACAGCAAATCATCGTTTTTTCAAAATATATTACATTTTTTATAATTTTAGTTTCGAAGAATTTAAGACAAGACATATACAATTTTAACATTTTAAATAATTTATAGGTACTTCTTATACTTGTATTTTTTGGTGCAACCAATATAAACTTGATTTTTAAATGATGATCTATAAATTTAAATTAAAAATTTAAAGCAGAATACTATCCTAATAATGTTAACGTAAACATAATAAACATTGAATATTAATTTAATAACGTTTACTTAATTTTTTTCTAAATAACTAATAAGCTTACAGATGAATAGTGCACCACAAATGTCATGATGAATGAGGATACTCTGTCATCAATTATTTTATTTTAAATACCAATTCTCACGTAGAAAAATAAATAAAAGGGCAAGGACAAAAAACTATATTATATACCCGTGCAAATTTTGATCAATACTTAGGATAAAAATAATTTAATATCTAGATATATAAATATTTGTCTAAATATAATGATATAATAATTATTTATTAAATTATGTGGTCTGTACATTTTCTGTCATGTTGATATTTACGATTTATGACTGCCGTATTTGGTTATGACTGCATATTTTACAGAAAGATCAAACTGATAATCCGAAGACCATTTTGCATTGCACGACAGTAGCTTAGAAGGCAAGATTTTTTTGCAATATTATATGATTAATATTATTATTTATAATTTTATTGTAACTCGCAGCGTCATTAGGCCATTTAAATTTAAATATTTTTTTAAGTTTGTAAGAGTAAAGATTAGGTAATAATAATAATACATACATTAAATAAAAAAAAGATAGGCAAATGGATGCCACTCTGCTGTATATTAGATGTCTTAGTGGGTCAGTATTATGTGTGTATTAAATTTGAATTCATACGATTCTGAGCGAAAGCGGTCTATAAGTCAATATCACTAAGTATATTTCATAATATGTTTTTTAAAGTAACTAAAATAATATATATACATATATATAATACATTGTATATTTATTTTTACCATATTATTTATATAGTTGTTATTACTTTTGATCCAATATCACCTTACCCTAAATCAGTGCGGATAAGTTTATGTCATACTAATAGGTAGGGTAGGTATTAGGTAATATCTTAAAATTAATCAACATATTCATTAAATGTTATTTTGTATCATTAATAATATACAAAAACTTTTAAGATAACCATTCAAAATATAAACTAGATTTAATTTACTATCCAGAATCACCTTCAAAGTTGAAAATCGAAGTTTTTGTTGACTACTTATCGTGAACACAAACACAAAAAAAAATACACGTATCTTTGTAAAATCAATACATTCATCACTCTACTCAGAATTTAAAATTAATAAGTTATTGTTTTATTATTTGCCTATATATTAATTATTAACTGCTAAACGTTATTAAAGAATTTTGTAAGTAAACAAAAAACAATTTATTTCCAAATTTTTCACTTAAATCACTTTTATAATCAAAATTTAATGTATGTCAAAAAATGCATTTGTTACAAAAAAAAAAAAAAATTATCAAATAATATTTTATGGTGCTTATTTTACAGTTAATAATACCTTCAACGATAATTTTTACTTATAACGATGAAAAAATATAGTTTCAATTTTAGATTGCGTTTACTAGAAAATATACTTTTTTTGGTTATCTTACACGTACTTATCTTAATACCACTTTTTTGTTTAATTATGATTATTATTATAGAATATAATCATCAAAGCATAAAATAAAATAATTTGAAACATGATAGTAAAATTTTGTTAATACAACTTCAAAAAGAAAAAATTATTTTTTAGTGCAGTAAAAATTACAATTATTTACTTTAAATACTGTTGAACAATATTGTGTAATATTTAAATTTAGAAAAACTGTTTAAAAAAATGTACAAACAGTACTATACTATGTATTTTAACATAGTTAATAGTCTTACACTATATTCTAAAAAGCAGAATTTTAATAAATTCATTATTAAATGAAATATGGGGATGGTCATGTTTGATAAATCATCTTGTATACGTACGCAGTATACTATTGTACGCGATAGATTCAAATATCGCAGAGACGAAATATGTATATTTTATTCGATAAAAAAAGTTTTGTGCATTCCCACTAAATAATTACTTAACCAACAGAATAGAAATTAAAACTAAGAGTTAGAGATTCTAATTTGGCTTAATGAAGATATAAGATTTGCTTGATATTAACATTTTTTTTTTCAAAACTTAGCTGTAAACTTTACACATATATAATTTTGTATACATATTTATCAACTTACCCAAATTCCATGCATTTCTAGTAAACGCCTGTACGATTCCAATTCGTTTTCTTTCAGCTGATACGCTTGTATGAGCGACATGTGATTTTCCTGGAGTCTAAACAACTGAGATACAATAGACATAGATTCAGCATTATGCCATGATACATTATTATTTGCGGTTACATCAAGTTAGAGAAATAAAAATTAATTTCAAGTCATACACACTTCGGTTTTTATACGATCCGTGTCGTCTCGAAAATCGTTGGCCAGCCTGCATAATTCCTCTATCCGGTTAGTCTTCTCAGACAATTCATTTTTCAGACTATCCACGGTGGCATTGAGCTCTTCGATTAGCTTTTGATTGGTCACCAATTTTTCACTATCGTCCTGTCCGGGAAGTGTGTTCAGTGATCTCATGATCATTCCTGCGTTTATAGACATGAGTTATTTTATGGACAATATCCTATATGACGATGGCACGGCCTACAATCTCTTTGTAATAAATATGAAAAACGTAATGATAACAAAAGCAACTGTATTCTAAAACCGATTATAAATACACAATATACAGAGTGATTCACCAAACTTGTGCATCTTCTACTTTAAACAGAGATGGTTTGTCAACCTATACACTAAGTACATTTCATGATATGTTTTTTGAAACAGTTATTAAAGTTATTTATTTTACTATTATTATTACTGTAGTCTAATTTAAATTTTTATAAAATATAGCATTTATTATATTATTAAAATAATATATATTTATGTATTATATTATTATTATTAACTTATGACTCAATGTATTAATCAATACTCCTCTGGGTACAAACTAGATTTAATTTTTTATCAGATACAAACTTTAAAGTCGAAAATCGAAGCATTTTTACTTCCCTAAAAAGTGACGACAGACACAAAACATAAACATCATTATAAAATTAACATATTCATTGCTCACTCAGAATCAAAACTTTGATTAAATTCAAAGAAAATATATAGACAAGTCAATTTTATAAAAAAATGGATGTGTTCAATTTGAATTCAATGATATATCATTATAAATAAAAACACAAAAACGATTCTGAATAGAGACGGTCTGTCAGCCTATATCACTAAGTGTATTTTATGATATACACATAATTATTCAAAATATTTATTTTATTTTTAGTATTACAGCAAGTTGACAAATTTTTTCCGAAAATATTGCATTTATTATATTATTATTATTATTATTATTATTATTATTATTATTATTGTAATACATAATATTTATACCATATTATATCAACTTATACAACTTATAATTCAATAACATAATTCTGTAAATAACGTTAAACGATAATAATAGATTCGTGGTATAAATACATCGTTATTTCTAATTTAAATAAATAATTTCAACTAAATTTGAACTTAAAATATCTATCGCACATAATTGCCTTTATAAATTCAAAATATTTTTAAAATTTTACTGTAAATGAAAAAAACTAACAAAATAGTAAAAACATTTGGGGAAAATTTTAAATATCTATATCTATGTTTTTGAGTTTTATCAAAAAATAAAATCAATGTTGTCAATGATTGGATTTGCATAAAAATTCTTGTTTTTCATTTTTTTTTTATTCTTGATTATATATACATTTTAATTTCGACCTCTCTAAAGTACAAACTAAATCTAATTTGTTATTCTAAACCACACTCATTTTTGAAAATCAAAACATTTTATCAACTACTTATCCCGTATACTAACACAAAAAATAAAAATAAAGAAATAAAGAAAAACACACATCAATACGAAATCAATAAATTCATCACCCAATTTAGAATCTAAAATGGGGTTAATATGCTAAAGACCTGCATGGGCCAAGCCTTTTTTTTTGTAATCAAGGTTAACTTTTAAAATAACAACTAAATGTTTTGATCCATACTTATATTATTTATATAAAAATGTAATTTAGAGTACCTAAGTATTTGATCTAAAAAGTAATACTAAAAATTGTATTTATAAACTAATGTAACAATCAAAAGTACTTAAAAAAAATATTAAAAGATAACTACTAGGACCATATTAAACTTATTATAGAAAATATTCAAGGCGGCTGTTTGAGCCAGGCTTACTCATAAAAAAAAAAAAGATGGACCGTATAAGCTGTCGAGAAAAATAAGTGAACTTGAACCGGCAATAAGTTTTCAACCTGTCCAGATCTCTAGAGTTTGTTTAGGGAATCAGTCTGTTTATTAACATTTCGACTATAAAAAACTATATGGTATATAGATTAGATGAGTTGCAAGCTACTCATTAAAAATCACAAAATATAATAATACAACTACTGTTATTATCATAAATATCTTTGCGAGCATCGCTTATAGTTTATTTTAAATCATCAATAATATCAGAAACAAAAATATTGTATAGTATCATATTTTAAGCATGTATATTGTATAGGTATACATATTATACTATTATAATTTATAGTACCTATGGTAGATACGCACCTTCGAGCATTTTAAACAACTTGCAAAACTCGTAATCCAATAATAGACAATTAGAGTCTTGGGCAGTCGGCTGCGGGTGTTTGCTGGCTCGCGTGTACGATTCGTTTCGAGACACGTCATTTAATTTATCTATGAATGTTTCAACGCCTATGCGTTTGGTAATCAAATGTCTGAGGCTATCCTGAGAGTAACAAAAATGCAAAACTTCGTCAGTTTTGTAAAATTTTAGTGCGTTAATAAAGTATAAGAAAATAATAAAATTTACTTTTTTGAAATTTTCCACTGTGTCAGGATTGAACGCTAGGCATATACCCATAACGAATGTACTCAGACCGCTAACGATTTCTTCGATCTCTTCATTCTCTAGACGATTCGTCTGTATATAAGTAAGATATAAGTGATATGCAGTATACGAAATTAATAAAATTCTGCATACATATAATATTATAATTGATAGTAAAAGAGTGTAATTGAATAAAACTGTATCGGGTGATAAAACATTAAAAAAGTTCTAAAGGTTTTCAATTTAAGCTATCTATATAATATGATCTTATCTTTTATGCTTCTTTGATATAAATATATACAATTAAAAAAAAATTAAAATATTCAATGAAAATAATAAATTAAGTTTAAAAAAATCGTTTATTGTCTATAATATAATTACGTATTATGTATTATTATTATTATTAAACTATTGTAAAATTTACATCTTTTTGGTATATTTGAGTATTAAATGTATTCACATATACTCAAAATTTAAAAATATACAGAATTCTATAGAAAAAATAAGTGTTTTAAATGTTGAATTTGTTTATTTAAAACAATTCGTTTCGAAAATATTCATTTTATGTTATTAAAAATCAAAATTTGTGCCACAAATTAAAATTTAACCGTCAACTTATCTAATAGATATGGAGTATAGAATGTAACATAGAATTTGTTTTTTTTTTTATTTAAATATTTTAAAAGTAATTATGTGAAAAAGTTTAAAAATTATAATAAGGGGTACAATCTAGCAAAATATTAAACAGGGGTACGGAACGAAAAAAAGGTTGAGAACCGCTGCTATAAAGTAATAAGGGTCTTATAGTAATTTAAAAGACGTTAAACACAGTAACAAATTTAAGAAAATGTCACATGTAACATTTATAATAGTTTATAAAGTTCAATTGGATCGAAATTGAAAATAATAATCAATAACACACACTACAATCATTATTATGACCTCTTGCTAATAACTGGTGGTCGTATAAATGTACATAAATTATAAATAAAATATTATAATATAAAAATTTTACATAATATACTATACAGAGCGATTACTTTAACAGCAAACTAATAATATCTTGTTTATAAATAACCATAGTATTAATAGCATATAAATTTGAAAAATATAAAACAAATTTATATTCTTAATTTTTTTTTAACAATGATATAATTTTACTTATTATGATGTTTTAAAGTAGTAATGAAGTTAATTTCCAACATTGAAAATGATTCATAGCATCAAAATGAAATTAATTTTTATGTTTTTATAGAAGTTTAATATTTTCAAGTTTTTCTAATTTTTATTAAAATGATGATAAAAATGTAATCTTAATTGAATCTAATTTTATTTCATAAGTTTTCTAACAAACATTTAAAATTATTAAAAATACAAATATACAAGTTTTTAAGCACAACTTTTTTTCATAAACATTTGAATTCAAATTTCAGTAAAAAAAAAGAAAACTTATAAATTATTTTGTAGTTATTCATCTTTTATAATTTTTACATAAATATTTAAAATAAAAATTTAATAAATTAAAAACAAGGGTCCCAATAAGTTATTTTTACAAGAATTAAAAAATATTGAAAATATTTATTATGTATAATTTTTTCTAACTAATTTATATATTAAGCCAAAATCTTTCTTCTAACGTTTTAATTATTTTATTACATTATAGGGATTTAAAACAACTTTTAGCAATTACAATATGCGTGTATTATTATTTTCTATACACCATGTCATAACTTTCATAATATTTATATTAACTTAATTTGACTTTACTAAGCTAGTATAATAAAAATGTCTATATTTTTGGAAAAAATTAACAAAAAATAAATTTAATCTACAAGTAAAAATAAGTAATTCTTTAAAACATAAAATTAACTATCAATATTCTGAGGTGTTAAGTATTCATCATTATAAAACTCAATTTTATTTTTTATGTAGTGTTGAAATAAATTCGATCCAAGTAAATTTAAATTTTTGAAAAACACAATAATTTAACGATATGATAGTTGTTAAAAGACTCGTTCTGTATAAAACACAACTTAATTTATTTCGTATGTGTCAAAATATATACGAGAAAATAATTAACAATTATACATCATTAAATAGTACAATAATATACATGTATTATTATATAATATATAATATATAGATAAATATAAATTTTTTTGTTGCAGATTCAGTCAAGTGGTAAAATAGAGATAATATACAAATATAAATCTCGATTGCACATTATATTACTTTAAACGCATAAAAATTGCCTACAAAAATATCACTTATATTATTAAATCTGTGAAACATATAGGTAAATTTTAGAGTTAAATTCTAAAAAATTGCACTTTTTGTATTTTACGATGTGCTCTAAGAACAAGCAACATTTGATTTGTGTAGACAGCACGGACGAGTTTAGATATATTACAAATATAATTGTAAAAAAGAGTAATAGAGTTTTATATCATTTTTTATACTTGCGTCATTTTTTATACAGTCTACAATTAATGAAAATTATACTTCTTTACGTGACAAAAATCGAGAGTGGGCGTGAATGCGTCAAAATTAAAAACAATTCGAAGTACCCGATCGTATTGATTCGTTTATTCAATTATTTATTTGTTTTTTATTTGTGATATTTTGTTTGAATTTATCAATATTGCGTCCTCACTTAAATTATTTCATAAGAAAACGATTAGATCCGAACAAAAAACAAATACCTATGTGTACCTGCATAGCTGTGTTATAATAAAAAACATGCACAATTATGTGTTTTTCGCTTATATTGGTAGTTTCTATATAAAAATTGACAAATATAATAACTAGTTAATAAATAATAAGTATACACTAAACATTAAAGTTAGATGTCAGTTAATAACAAATTTAATTTCTATAAATCATAGGTGTAGTACTATATTACATTATTTTTGAATGTATATATTATATAATCGTACAGTTTTATCTGTCTTGCGTGTCCAATACATTTAAAAATCAATATTTTGTCATTAACAATAAATTGTCATAATGATTTTAAGGGAATTACAGTAAATGGAGAAAATTATAAATAAATTCTTATTATTTTGATGAATTATCAGTGTGTGATAATATCTGATAAGGAAATTAATATTTTATCGAGTTTAATCTGAACATGGTGTAGTCCATATGAATAAATGATTTATTAATTTATATGGTGTACTGCATATCCGTACATGTTGGTACATGTCAATATATTGTAATATATTCAATATTGATTACTATTTTAATATTCAAGAAACTTAAAACAATGATATATATAACAATATAATATTGACTGACTAAACTATAAAACTCAGGTTGGATGGATATTTTAATCAAAGCAATTTTTAATATTTTTAAGACCGTTAATGTAATTGTTTTTTTATACTAATAGTGTGATATGTGGGAGATTTAGTACCTTCCCTTATAATCACTATTGAGTTCTCATCAAGCAGATACTATTTTTTTTCTAAAATAAATGATACAAAAAGAACATTAAAAAATATATTTAATATTAAATGGATTTCTTTTAAATGTCTTTTTAAAAGAGTAAAATAATACGATTTAACCAATAGGTTTTGAGTAAGGGAATAAAGCAAGCGCTACTTTGAAATTAATATGTATTTTAACTATGAGTTTATCTGAAATTTATAATATGTTTTTTTCTTTTATCATATTCAATATTAACACTTTTCAATTACTAAAGTGACATAATTTATTACTATAATAATAATATTTAACACCAAACAGAATTATTTATGAATTATTTGCAATTCAAAATATATGTTTATAATCTAGTGTTTTTCTAACGATAGAAAAATGTTGGTTTTTAGATAAATTACAAAATTACAAAATTTATAATAATTTTTCTATTAGTACAATATTTTGCACTAACTTTTGCAAATAACATGCACTTATTATATTATCAAATATTTTTTTTGATAAGCATTAATTTCATACATGATTTTTATTATCTTATAAAGTCAATATCACATACTGTAGAATGATGTGAATAGGTTCATGATATAAATAGCTAAAATAAATCTTAAAATATTTTGAATCTTAATTTTCTATGCATAGTCTTTGAATTATAATAAATTAACAAAAATTGTTGAAAGAAAAATTGCCATTACGTTTTTTAACAGTAAATTTTGTCAATATTTGAACTTAAAAAAAAAAAAACTATTATGGCTTCACATTAAACTTTTATATATTTATAAAAAATTTTTTATTATATTTTCAATGCTTTAATATATAAGCCTTCAAAGTACAGATAGATCCAATTTTATACTGATGTTGAAAATTGAAGCATTTTTAGTATTATAAAATATGATTAGATACAAAAAAATAAATAAATGTAAAAACTATTATCATTGTTTAACCTATATATACATTTTTCTGCTCAGAATCTAAAATATAATACAATATGACCCATATAAGAGTATATTTTAAGGAAGTAATTGTAGTAAACACAGAAAATAATTACGAATAAATAATAAACACTAACCTGAGTTATAAAGTATGGTATGCCGGTATTAATTTTCAAGAAACTTTCAACAGCCAGTGAACAATGAGCAAACCAAGTAGATAAAAACATCAAATAGCCAATTTTAAATTGTGCTTTATCATTCTAAAAATAATACCAATTAAGTATTCCTTTTTAATATTGTAACTATTATAACCATAGAAAATACATACTGTTTGGATAGAACTAACTATTTGTTGTAACAATGTAGGTGGATCATTATCACTGGATGACAACTTGACATTCAGCAGCTTTTCCTTACCCTCTGGATTATCAATAAGAGCGTGTGAAAGTACCACTGCTGAAAACCAACTGTTTAACGGTTCCTTGTTAAACAAACCTCGACAAAGAAGATTACTGATGCAAGTTTCAGTTACTGTATAATACACACAAGTAAAAATAGAGAGAGAATTTAGTAAGTAATAAATAATCAAAACAATAGCAATTAGCAACACATTGTACATTATTATGATACCTTCTTTTTCTGATGGTAATAGTTTTTGTACAATTTTCATTTTTCCGAAATCATTTCTGTATAAATAGCACTGGAAAACGTATAACACCGCACAACGCATATCAAATGGCTGCTTGTCACTTAACATTGTACATAACAATAATAACAGAATATCCCTAAAATACATAATGAAGAAATTACTTTTACATTCATTAAAAATTTAGAAATTAGTACAGATTTAATAATATACTTTGGAGGACTTTCATAGGACTTTACAGATTCAAGAAATGATTGGTTATCATTATGTCCTCGTACAAGTTCTGCTACAGTATATATGGCTTCAGTTAATGGATTACGAGGTACACCATTGGCGATTAACAAGTCACATATTGCTTTTAGGATTCCAGATGTGAACATGGCTTGTTGGCATGAAGAAGTAGCTTGAGCTGGGTTGGTTGGCGATACCAGTGTACGTATAATTTGAAGAACTGAATGTACATTATTTATTCTCTGGATAGGCCACTCGTCAACAGCAGGCAATTGTAAAAGGGGCAATATCCGTGATATGAAATTACCTAAATAAACAAATTTATGAATTACTACTAAATAATATTTTAATGTTTTTGGAGAGCAGACCTTCTTTGAAGAAATTTTGTGTGGAAATGTTGTTTCTTAATAAAGTAAACATTAAATTCAGACAGTCTTGAACAACAATTCCTCCATCTGCATTGCCTTCTTCTTGTATAACATCAAACAACCGATCAAAAGCATTTTCAAAAGCTAATATCTTTTGAATATTTGCATTACTTTTTGTCAGTAATGTTAGCAAAAGAACAGACTAAAACAAATTGTTATGAGTACATATTAATGAATTACTCATTATTAAATTTTTTAATACAATTTGAAAATAAACAATTGTTCAAAATCATTTTTATTTATCTATAAAAATTATTTTAATATCATAGTTACTTATTAATTGTTTATTAACAAATCACACTTTAAGACAAAGTAGAATATATAATGATATGCATATGAACCGTAAAAATAATGAAAATAATGTACCTGAATAATACATTTATGTGATCATAGCTATATATACCCTTGTATTATTGAAACAGCTTTAATTTGCATTTGCTTATACATTAAGAATAATGAAAACAAGTAAGCATAAATAAAGTAAAATATCATCATTAAATTGTGTTTGTAAGAATTATTATTAAATTTACATTTATTTTAATAGCACTCCTAATTTATAATATTAGTAGTATACTGTTATTTTTTAATAAACAAAAATATTTATTATTTATACAAATATAAAGTTTACTATGTACATTTTAAACCATTTTAAATAAGCTTGTCATAAGAAAATATTGAAAAATAAAATGTAGCCAAACACTTATTTATTTATTTGTTAAAAATAAGGGGTCTGAAATGAAACATAAATATTTTAGTAATAATAGAACTCACATTATTTCGGATCACTTCCCGGCTGTCACTCAACATGTCAATTAGTTTGGAAACTCCCATTGGGCTGACCAAAATCATTTCTTGCACGTCCTTAGCCCTATTATTAATGAAAATTTAATTTTTACAAATTTAACAGAATGACAAAATAAAATTGAATAATTCAAAAATTTTAAACAATTTTTTTTTAACAATTAAAATAGTTATTATTAAAATGTGTATACATTAAATAAAATACTAAATCAATATTTTTCTTAACAAAGGATTCTTTTTTTTAGTTTCAATGCATTTGAATATCTCATAAATTTTAGTAATAAAACTCACTTAAATTTTAGAAGCGAAATCCGTTTTTAAAAAAAATGTATATGTATTTATTAAACAAACATGGTTTTATAATAATAATTATTATTATTATTAATCAGCAATAATAGTTTTATTAAATGGTAATCAACAATTCTTGTAGGATATAATATATGCTTTACAATTTGAACCCACTTATCAAACTAGTTATTTAAACTATAAAAACTTATAAAAATATATATTATTTCCAAATTTCATAATTATTAATAAACACTTTTATAATAAGTATCCAATTTCAATTCATAAAATTAAAAAATTATGTTAAATATTATAAAGAAAGAAAAAGTTAAACAATACTTAGAATTTTTTTTTTGTAAATCATAGTTTTACTAAAAAAATTAAAATAACTAGTTAAATATAACATACAGGTAGTTGTATATAATTTTTAGAATTATGATATTATATTGTTACCGAGTACCTAGTCAAAATATTGTATATTTAATTTTTTTTTTTTTTTTGGAATAACTTGTTCCATCATAAAATTTTTAGTTATGGGTACAATTTCAATTTAAAATAATTTTTAATGTTTTAAGGATTCCAACTTACTTCAAAATATTTTAAATATATATATATATATATATATATATATATATATATATATATTTACAATATGTATTAACACCAAAAGTAAAAAATTTAATTGATTTATCTAAATAGTTTTAAATATAAATCAAAGTTTAGTATTATTTACTTTATTTATTCTAAAAGAATAAGTTTTAATGGTTTCTAATTAAATCATCAATATTTGATTATTAGATTTAATAATTTCTTAACCCTTATCTACACCTATAAAAACTATTTTATAAAAGTTAACTTATAATAACATATTTATGATTTTTAATTAAATACAATTTTAAAAAATCCAACTTTACAAAGATAAATAATTCACAATATATACATAAATAAATAATTTAGAAATATACAATATTGTAATTTGTAACAATTAGAATTTATTTATTTAAAAACTAAATGTAATTGTAAGCAATATATTTCCTTTGTTTTTATATTAACTCACTTATTTGTTAATAACAGTAGGAGTAACTGAAGAGCTGGCCACCGCACATGAAAATCAAATTCTTCTAGATAATCCAAGACCAAACCAACATTTTCTTTTTTCTTTATGAATATTTCTGTAAAACGTTCACCCAATTTATGTGAATCTTTTGCAGTTACATCAGGAATTTCTGAAAAAAAAAATGATTTTACTAATTTATTCAATAATTAAGAAAAAAATTAAATGCTTATATTTATAACTTTATATGTAATAAAATAAAATGGTATGTATTTAGAAATTTTACTTAAAAGAATGGTAACAACTACATATTATTTTAGTTTCTGAACATATTTAAAATTTAAATTGATAAGTTTTACTCTTTTTTTTTGTCATATCACCTTTGAACAGAACAACAAGCTTTAAAATTAACTCTGAAAATGATTTCTAGAAGTGAATATGATTAAGTTGTAAATATAAGTGTTCAATACTAAACATTTTTTAGTACTTTTCATATAAATGGAAATATCAAAAAAATAATTATTATACAAAACCAACTTTTAATTTTCACAAAATATTTATGTTTAAGTTTTTTAAACATGATATAATTTTGGCTCTTTTTAAACTATTTATAGGTATGAGAAATTTTTTAAAAATGGAATATATGGTTTCTTTTATATTAGTATTACAGTAATTAAACTTATCAAAAAACAATAACGTTTTTTTTATAAGTGCTCAAAGTTTAAATTTAAACAATATATTGTTTTTTTTTTTTTATTTATTAATTTAACACTTTTATTAGTAACCAATTTAATGATTAGGTACATAGGCACATATTGGGTCGACAAAATACCAAGAAATCTTAAAAGTGAGTCGCTCAAAATATGGATCAGCTATAAGTATTTGGTCGTAAAATTTATTTTTTATGATAATGATAAATTCATAAAAATTATAATTTAATTAAAGTATTAAACTTTACAATACCTGTAACTGTAATAAAACATTAGAAGTCCTAAAACCCATCAATAGTTTAGTAAAATTTATCAAATTGTTTTAATTTAATTAAGGTATCCACAGGCATATTAGCCATTTGATCAGTTTTCAAATATTGTTATTAAAACAATATTATATGTTATTAAAATTGTTATTGTTGTTACAAATGATCAAAACTATTGATAATAATTATTTTTATTAATGAGGGTTAATACATAAAATTGAAATTGCTGAGTACAAATTTTATATGTTGTACGATTTTGAAACAGAGACAACATAATACGTGGGTGTGGCATCCTCTTAATAGAGAGTAATAATTAATAACCTTTAACATAAATTTAATATTTTACCCTCTTCTTCATAAATTTCATTATGCATAATAAGTCTTAATGTGTCCAAAACATAGCTAGCTATTTCAGCGTCGGCGCGGTCTTGCTGCAATACTTGACACAAGGCATCCATTCCTTTAGCACCTACTTCAATGCGATATTTTCGTGATAAGGCTTTAAGTGCTCTACATGCATCACGTCTATCTGCCAGTAACGTGGAATGTTGAACTCGATCCACTAAACGTTCAACCTATGGACAAAGTAAAATGTAGCTGGTTAAAACAAATAAAAACACACACACACATATCATATTATATATAATATTTAAATTGCACAGAATATACAAGTGATATGTGTGTGTGTGTGTGTTAATTGAAACATTAGTATATAAATAGCATACAATATCAGCACCGGACGGTTGTTCTTCGATGTCGGGTGTACCGAGCACCGTTTTTAAGCCACTTTTAAAATATTCCATCGATATAGGCAATTTCCCAGACGTTTTTTAAATTAAAAAAGAAAAAAAACAGTACAAAAACATTTTTCACTCGAAATTTAAACGACGAACGGACGTCAATCGAGGGTAGTGTCAAAGTGATAAACTAATGAGTATTGAGTATTGAGTGAAAAAAAAAAAATTAACAATTAAAACATAAATAATATTATAATAATGATAATAATTTATGCTTTAAAGTAATATAAATTAATATTATAGTTTGTTTTCATTTACACAGATATGAACGATGGACACGATGACGTAGATAATAGATTCCTAATTCTTATCACGGCCACGTGCTAACGAAAATGTCAACTCATATCACAAAATAGTAATGAAATAGAAATAATGATAATGTTATCTTGAAAAACGGCGACAGTCCTTAATAATAATAATATTATGTGATAATATTATTTAACATCAACAATAAAACTTGAATGTCTTGAATCTTGGATTTTCAAACGTAATCGCGACCTGGATTATTAAAATATTTTATTTTGTGTCTGAGCTGTCGGAATTTTTGAATATCCGCAATCACTAGCGTCTGTCGGACTACCGCAACAATGGATAAGACTATGGAGAGGAAGTTTTTAAAGACCACTGTGGCCGGAATTTTGTTGGAAATCGGGTTTCAATCTGCAGAACCAGGCGCCTTGGAGACTCTCGTTGAAATGCTTTATAGTTGTCAGTATATTTTAAAACTGTACTTGTTGATATGTCTTAACTATTTTTATAGTTTGGCCGTTTGAACGGTAACAGATTTATGATTGAAATAGTTGATATCTAAAAATCGGGCGAAAATATCAAAGGTTTTACGACTTTCATACAAAAATGGAAGCTTTCACATATTGTTTTATGAAACAAATCAATCTATTTATTTTTATTGAAATCATATCAGAATGTGGTTATTAAGTGACCTATAAAATCCGTTATTGCATTTAGGTTTGATAACGAGCTGTTAAATTTTTTTTTGGGGTATTTAGGTTCTCAGTATTTATATTATATTATATTATTGTATTTAATGACTGAAATTTTATGACTCAAGTTATCTTAGAATCTGATAAATAAATCATGAAATGATTTAGCAATTTAAGCCATAATAACCATCCTCTTATTAATTTCAGATTAACTGTTATTGCGATAGCTATTGTTTCTAAACACCATTTGCAATTATGTATAATAGGTACATATATATAATTATTCATCATTTTTTATCTAAAAATATAAATTTTCTTTTTTAATTTTGAGTTAATTTACCTCGATAGATTTTAAATGAATAATTGAATTTTAAAAAGTAAAAATATTTTAGTTATTTTTAAAATTAAGTTTTTAATAGATTAACTTATATAATGCAAAATATGACTATCATAAAAAACAATTTTTAAGTTTTTTTCTACATTATACCATAGAAATGATTGAATTTTAAACAATTTTAACTAATTATATCTATATTTTATAGATTTATTATACAGAATGTATTTTCCATGGATTAGTAAAAAATAAAAAACGATTAGCCACATTTGGATTGAATTAAATTTTTGTGAGATAAAAAAATGAAAATTTTAATGCTTCTAATCCAATTGAAATTATTCTAAATTTTCAATGGTCATTTGTATTAAAAACAATACATTTTTAAAGTGTCATTTAAAATTTATGTATATTAATTTATAATATGTTTAAATATTTTTATTTAATTTTAGTGCTTTCTCAGATGGGAAATAGTAGTCGTCGTTATGCAGAAATAGCTGGGCGTCTAGAGCCTCTCGGGGCTGATGTTATGATGGGCCTAATTGACATGGGTGTGTTCAAAAATGCATCCAGTCTATTAACTTATGCCAAAAGGTCTAATCGAGGTGTTCTTCCTAGCCCTGTACCATCTGTACAACCACGCCAAACAAGTAACTTACAAGCAGGGACAAGACTGCCACATCCATCATATATGCCAAGTTATATGCCGGCTTTTCCAGACCCTCATGCATACATAAGAACACCAGTAAGAATATTAATTTTGTATTAATATACAACACACATATTAATTTTTGTATTACATTATTTCTTTATAGACACACAAACAACCAGTTACTGAATATGAAGCAATCCGTGAAAAATCTGCTATTCAAAAACATGAACTTGAAAAATCTTTGATAAAGTTTTTAATAAAAACTGGCCCTACTGAGAGTTTATTTTTGAACCAAGAAAATGATTGTTTTGCATGTAAGTATCAATAGTATCATACTAAATTATAAAATTCTTCTCTACAATTTTATAATAGGTATTTTTACTCTAAACCCCATCAATGAGCGGGATTATCTAAAGTATAAAACCATGTTTTTGTGATATATTTTTTTCACTATTTCCTTCTCTTAATAACTTAAAAATAAATTTGAAATAATCTAAATCCTGACCACTTTTTAAAGGTTATTTCCTAAAAACTTACATTTTCTTAACAATATTGAATAATATTATATAGTATGAGGTTTTGGAAAGCCTCCTTATAGGTTCAAGTTGATAAAATAGTACCAATGTACCATTTTTATTTTACTCAAATAGTTAGCCATAGCTTATAGATGTTTGTCTAATATTAAGTTGTTAAATACAATGGGCTATCGTTGCATCAATAACACTGAGTATTTTATTTTTAAAAACTTGAATCGAGTAAATGTTAGATGGCTAGGTTGGACTCAAAATTTGTATGTACAGGAAGGTGAGATTTCTAGTTTAATCATTTGTTCATTATTATTTCAATATACTTGATTTTGTTGTATACTGGAAAATATATGTTATTAATTTTGTGTTGTTTTTTTTTGGATGGCGAGAAAAGTTAAATTAAGATTGATATAGTTTTGTAAAAATTTATATATTAATATTTCAATTGGTTAACTATAGTTTTCGTTGACAAGGGTAGTTAAGATAGTGTTGTAGTTATTGGAAATCAGCAATACAAAATATGAAGATGACGAAGGATTGCTTTTTTTAAGGTTATTCTATTGACTATTTGGAATTGAATGGTATGATATGATTCTTTTGTCTTATTATAAATACATCTTCTATTTTCGAGGTGTAATTTGAGAATTAGATACATATGAGCAAGCATTGTTTTTTTTTTTTTTTTTTTTAATAAACCAGAAAGTAATCTTTTGTCTTATACTTAATCAAACACTGGTACAATTCAAAGTATTTCAATATTGTATTCAAAAATTAACTATTACAGTGCTTAGAATTTCCAACACTAAGGCAATTTAAAATTGTGAGACTGAATTTATATGGATGGTTGAGTGTATTTATATAAAAGCCGAATTGAGTATATGATCTGTTATATATAATAAAAATAAATTTTGTAACCAGAACTAAAAATTTCCAGCTAGGCACATATTTGGACATCGTCTTGGGGAGAGGAATTATAATGACATTTTATTATATGTCTGGTATGTTCTTGTATTAAAAAAAAAAAAATGTTTCTGCCTAATAAGTAATAATACATTTATTAAACAATTGTCATTTAAATAATAAATCAATGTTTATTAAAATAATATGTCTATAATACAGACTTTATGGAGAGGGAATTGCTCCAACCCACATAGGCGTAACTAGACCTTAAAGTTAGGGGGGGCTTCAGCCCTAGAATTTTTATTATAAGTAAATTAAGTGGAAGGCTCTGCCCCCATACCTCCCAAACCCCTTACATTCATTGATTATACATGTAATATGAATGTAAATTAATATTTAATTATAAAACAAATAATAAACCAAGTGGTATTGAGGTTAAATATTTATATATTAACATATTATGAATTATGACGGGGAGGCTAAAATTTATGTTGGGGGGACTTAGCCCCCCGAGTCCCCCCTAGTTATGTCTATGCCAACCCACCTCAAATATACACCTGTTTCTAGCGTAGCTGAGGCAGACATATTTTAGATATTTTTATTAATTTATGAATCGGAGAATATCTACACAGTAAATGTTCATATTATTTTTTTTTTCTATACAATTTTTTTTCAATTAAGTTTTGATGAGATTAAATTCACCGCTCCTTTTGTAATTGTTTAAGTATTAATTATTATTAATTATGAATTGCTTATGTTTATCTATATCTATATAAATATATATTGGTATTAGCCATTATATCAATAATAGTACTAATAGAATATAATAACATTATACATATTTGTTCATTGATACTTAAAAGTCTTAAACATTTAATTTTTTACATTAATGAATATTGTGGTTAAAAAAAAAAATAATGTTCATTATTCAATCATCATACATTTTTTTGTTCCCCAAAACCATATTATTCTAGTTGTAATCCTGAAAAAAAAAAAAACAAATAAGAGAGCTTTTAATAATAAATGTTTTATGTTATAGTGATAGCCAACAAGCCACAACAACCTGCATACATTTCAGCATTGTTGCCTCAAGATCAAGTATTTGATGAGGATCCCGATGAAACTGAAATACCAATACCTAGTAAAAAAATTAAGTTCAAAAAAGAAGTTCAGAACAAAGAAGAATTTGATGAAAATGAAGAACAAGAAAATGAAAACGAAGAAGAAGAAGAAAACAACGGTGATGAAACTGAATCAAAACAAGAAGAGCCCATAGATAACCCTTTCTTAAGACCTGTTAAGTATCCAGCCGCTCCTTAAAATTGTTCAACTGATCATATTATTAATACATTAGAAACTAATTTTGATTCTAAAAATTTATTTTTATAACCAAATATGTAATTAACTCTAGATCATTGTACATTTTGTTACATATCATTATTATTTTATGTAAACATTTTTATCCCTTGATTTTAATCAGTGTCTTGTAAATATTTATTCTATTTTATGTCAAATGGCAAAGCTATGAGTTAAGAACTAGAATTAAGTTACTTTAAAGTTATTTTCATAATAAATTATGTTTTTACCCAAAGTAATTTCATAACTTAAGATTGTAAAATATAGAATAATTATTAATTTATTTTAATTATTTTATTTTTATAAATTGGGTAATTGTAATATTTCACCCTTTTGTGCATGCAATGCCAAGTTTGACTCAAACTAATTTTCCATGAATTTCAGTTAAGGAAGTATTGCTACTTACTATATTTGAACCTTTTTTCCATTCTATGTAATAAGTCTAATTATGTAAAATCCATGAGAAATGTTGGTTGTAACTTGAAATTTAAATGTTAACATTTATTAACAACTAGACAATAATGTTTATTGTATTTACTAAACAGACTGAAATTAATATTTAAAGTTTACAATGTTTGTGCTATAAATATTCCAGAGCAGTGGCATGCCGAATCAAACTTTTTTGAGAAATTTCCTTAAGACAAAATAGGTAGCTGGATGGATACTGAATAATGGGTTTAGTGCAATAAAACATTTTTAGATTTAATTAATAATATTTATACTAAATTAAGTTGAAAAATGAAAATTAAAAGCTATAAAAACATGGATGGTCAAAACTCAAATGGCAATTTACCTAAGATCAAATCTGAAAATTGTTCAGCATGCTACTCTACCAGAGTATTTTATCCAGTAGTCAAAAATGAGATAAATTATAATGAATTTATTAAAAATGAATGTCCATATTATTTCTTTTTTTTCTTTTTGAAGGTGGGAAGAGAGTATACATTTTTACAACACATTAGGAATATTCGACTCTATAAAAACAGCTATATAAAACCACTATATTAGAGTAACTTTCATAGGTATGTTCAGAATTTGGAAGTCGAGGGGCACAACAAATTTTTAAACCATGAGACTTATTTTTTTTTAGACGTGAAGAAATATTTATTTTTATGTTACAATAATGACAATGGTAGGAATATATTTTAATTATGACTAGGGATAGGATTTAAATGCAAAGGCATCTTTTTTTCTAATGTTTTGAAACATTGATCCATTGAAACATTTGATTGAAGTATAAAATGTGTTTTTGGTAATACATATTACCTATTAATTATTTTAAAGTAATTTTTTTTACATTTTTTAACAAAATTAACATTAAATGCATTTTTAGAACATTTTTCACTATTTGTTAATAAAATGAAAGAAAATTGTGATTAACAAGAGACATTTGACAAACTGCCGATGCCGCGATGGAACAAATAATAAACTATATAGCATGGCAATTTTTTTTTTAATTATTTTAGAATGAATGATTAAGTAAATAGAATTACAAGTACTAAGTAGTACAACAGAGCTAAACAAGTTACAACAAACAATAGGTACTATATAAAACAAAAAAAACAATATACTACTGTAATATTTTAAATATTTTTTTCAATTTTTAAGGTATAAAGGTATAATAAATATAATTTAAATGCATTTTTTGAATTTTTAAGTCATTTTTACATTTTATAAGATTTTTTAGGGCATTTAAATCCCAGCCCTAATTATAATCAAAAAGTATAACCATTTTTAATACAATAAAATACATTTAAATTAAAATTAAAAGAGATACATAATAATATAGTTAATTGTAAATAAAGTATTTATAAATCTATTTTTCTTTCATATGGTTTTAACTTTCAACACTTTAAAAGATTCAATAACATTATCAAAGTTCATATTTCTTGCCAATTCTTGCTCGATGCTAATGGTTAATAAACTATTTAGGCGATTTTGATTTATACTGTTCCTCAGTTTAGTTTTTATAAAACTTAGTTTGGAAAAAGTCCTTTCATACAAACAGCTTGTAACTGGTATAGTTACAAATATTTTAAAGGCTTTGAATAGGTAAATTTAAAAATAAATCCTCTCTACCATGAACCGTAAACCACCTAATCCAATGGCCATAGTTTTTTTGTTTTAGCATCACTTTTATTAATTAAACAAATTTCAGCTTCCAGCTTATTCTGCTTCAAATCAAAGGTTTTACATAAATTCACCATATCATCATGGTGACTTGGATAGTTTCAAATTCTACTAAGTGACCAATACTATTTATTATACTTAATGTTTTAATTAAATCTGACCTCTATCGTCTTATCTAGCAAAGGTAAATATACCCTAACACGGTACCATGTTTTGTAGTTATGAATAATTCAATATTTGATTAGCATATTGTATAAATATAATCTCTAATTAATAAATGCCCAACTCAAATAACAATTAAATAATCTATTATTATTTATTTGTAAGTAGCAATAGAACAAGATTGAAAAATTACAAAATATAAAACAAATAATCAAAGTCTACAGGTAGGTACTGCAGGGTACACACCGCACGACTTATTTTTATCCGGGTATGATTTTGTTGGAGGTACAATTCGCCGGGGGGCCTATGCCCACTCGGTCCCTTCTGTAAACACGGCTATAGTAACTTTTTTGAAAGTAAAATGTTAAAAAAAATAACATTACATAAATATTATTTTAAAAATAAAAATGAAATAGTAATCATGATATTGGTAAAAGAATAAAAGTTCTAAATTAATAAAAATTTACGAAAGGTACTTATCGATTATCCTGACTAGGTACCTAGCGAGACGTATTGAATTGTGGTTATTATTATTTATTACCACCTTATGCAAATTTTTTGAATTTTTTTTTTTGAAACCTATTTATGTAAGCTATTTAAGAACAATGGTGCAATCAGAATTTGTCGTTCAGACTTAATTTTGATATTATGGCCTTTGGAAATTAGCAACTCGGCGTTTTTTTACACATTCCCCATCACTTTAGTCTACTACGCCTATTACGAATATTGATGTTGATGTTTTATTTTTTCATTATCAAATATGAGTAATATAAATATTTATTATAGTGACTCTCTTCGTCTGCCGGCTTCGGCAGCCGGTTGACCTAACAAGTAAACCTAACTTTATTAGTTCAAATAAAATAAGTACAGGAGAGTAGACCGTTTGGGCGAGGGTTTAATAAACTAAATTGTAATATGACACGAAAATGGTCTAACACTAACTGCGTTGACAAATGGCAAGTAAAACGTAATGTTACTCATGTTACTAATTTAAAAGACATCCCCACACCAATGCTAATAAGTAACAAATATACAATGAATATGAATTTAAATGTTTTATATAATCAAAAATAAAACTAATTTGATGTGTGTGTGTGTCTAATGTGTAAGTATAATATAATAAAAGGGAAAAAATTTTATCATTGTTAAATGTTAAAAGTACGCAATATAATTAATTTTAATTTAAAATTCAAAAATATAAAATATAAATTTTTTTTTAAAAAGTTCATAGTGCAGATAATCAACGCTCCACTATAATTAACATTGATATATTTTATTTAAATATTATTTGCAAACTAAAACTTTAAATGTAAATAAAAAAAATTAAGGTTAGCTACCTATGTATTTTTGAAATTTATATACAGCTATAAGAAAATTTTATGTTGTGTGGGGATGAGGAGGGGGTGTTATTTTAAATTTTATATTTTATCGAGAAAAAAATATTTATTGATTTTATAAAAAATAACTAAAAATAAAATTGAAAATTTCAATTGTCATTTAAAAATATTTCAAAAAGTTAAAATACTTATGTAAAATATATATATACCAATATATCATAATAATAAAAATCTAATTTATATATAAATTTTAAGTATCTACGGTTATTTTTTTTTTGTAAGTTACATTAAAAAAACAAAATCGATTTTGCATTTTCCATATCTCTTGTTTTTACAAGTTATTTTTAAAAGTACAGACATTTTTTAATTTTGAACCTACCCCTCCTCCTAAATTAAAGTATCAACTAGATCTATATTACTACT